TCGCCTGCCCTCACTTCAGGTGTGCACCACATGGGCACCTGCAGGTTAGCTCCTTGTCTCATCTCCAGGATTATTAATGGAGATGGAGGAAATCTGTGGGTTGCAAATGCCTGGTGACATGTCAGGGGGCAGAGGTACGTGCAGGCATCTGCAAGCTCTCATGGAGGTATCATGAGGGACAGGGCAGCACCTGGGGGCATCACCGTGGAGGCTGGGGGGAATGCCTTTGGCCAGCTGAAATGACAGCAAATGCACCCATTTAGGACAACTAAACCTGTCCCTCCTCAGTAGGCTCAGGGCAGCCTGTAGAGGCATCCACCTGACCCAATGGAGAACTGTGCCACAGGGAGAGCTGAGTCTCTCTCTCCCTCTTCTCCATCTGGTTTTCCCTCCATCTCCAGGGACTGTAACGGCACTTGTCTCATGGACATCCCTATATTGCCTAATGAAATTCGGGGCAGCCGCTCCATTTAAAGCCAATTGCAGGCCTGCAGTGCTACCTGAGATGCCAACGCTGCCCAGCACCACTGGAGCATGCAGCCGGCATGGGCAGCACAGGACCCACAGGACAGCTTTGGCTATTCACAGCTGGTACTTAGAGGGCACCCCTGAGGGCATCTCTGGTAGACCTGGTGCTTATGAGCAAGTGACTGCTTCCCAGAGAGCCAAGGTCTGTCCCACTTCTATCGGGTAGAGGCAGGCAGTGCACAGATATGAGGCACTTCACACCAGAGTTTCCATTTATGTCATTCAGCTTGCAAACACTGCTGCTGCTTCTCATCCCCACCCGTTAATCACTCTGATGGTACTATCCAGACACAGTGATTTTTTCTGTGTCCCTGGATCACAGGATGCCCATTGCCAAAGACATTGTCAGCAGCCCATTCTCGTGCCTGGAGATCGGCCTCAGCTCCAGCACTGGCCCTCAGAGCTGCACCAACACCACAAATGCCCTCTGCTGTCAGGGCAGCACAGCCCAGGCCTGATTCCTTCTGGCCTCAGGAACACCAGGGCTTGCCCTCCTTGGGACCCCTTAATTCATCCTTTTGTGCCCATCTGCCATCCACGGCAGCATATCTGCTGTGATGGAAAGCCTTTGCATGCCCAGGCTCTTGAGCAAAAGATCTGGGACAAGTCTGAGTTTGGCCCTTGTGCCACAGCTGAGGTGCTGCAGCCCAGATGTGTCCCAATGCCCTCAGCCTGGGGCACAGGCAGGAGAAGCTGGATCCCCACCGAAAGGAAGATGTGTCAGCATTAAGGAGTACACGGAATCTGTCCCAAGCTGTTCTCCCTACTCTCCCCTTCATCTGCAGTGCTGTACTACCCCTCTCCCTTACCATGAGGTGCTGAAGGTAAGTTTGCCATTCCCTCGTGTGCCACCTCTGCCTGTGGCATGGCAGGGGGGTGTCCTGGGCAAGGGTGCTGAGGCCTTCTCAGAGCACAGAGCCTTGTGGGACATGAGGGGAGGAAGGCTCGGGAATGTGCTGCAATTCCCTCCATATAACACATCCTAATGCATCCTAACACATATAATGCATCCCAGGCGCCTTTCCTGTAAAGGAAAGGTATCCCTTCAAGGAAGATGTTGTATGTCACCCAGGCAAATGGACCACCAGGGAGAGAGGCAGCCCATATCTGATGCAATTGGCCATGCTGGAGGTGATTTATGGTGATTTATGCACATTCAACAGTTTTCTACCTTGCCCGGTGCCTCACAGGATCCTTCAGTTGTGGGGTTGCTGAGGGTCGACGTGCCAGTAGCTACCCAAATGGTGCACCAGTGGCATTATGGCACCACCCAAGATTCCCTGATTCCCATATATATGCTGATTCATCAACTGCAGAGCCAAGGACTGATCAGCAAAATTTGTTCACCCTTTAATAATCCCATAGGGTCAGTGCAAACATGTAATGGAGATCTGAGGCTAACGGTGGAGTATTGTGTCTAGAATGAAGTCACACCAAATTCAATAGATCATCTATAGTTTTCTCTCCTTATACTCTTAGCTCTAAGAGCATTTAAACGATCTCTTACAGCACCTGAATGCTGTTGTCTGATCCCTTCCTGGGATCAAAAGGAGCCAGTACCTCCAGGCCAGAACACTCTCCTTGTACCCTTGGATGCAGGCCCCTAGGTCCCATGGACTGTTAAGGGTGTAGTTTGCAAAGTAACCATGGATTTTATCCCCACCCAACACCTGTTGTACCCCTGCAGAGTCCTGCCTCAAGGCACAAAGGGCAGGGAGACCTGGCTGGTGAGAGCTGAGGCCCTGTGGAGATGTCCGAGACAAAACAGCCATTACAGCCAAGGGTGACATAGAAGAGAAAGGAAAAAAGAGAACATTTAAAAGAGAACAGAATAGGTTTAGCTCTGCCTGTGACCCATGACTCCTTTTGCTCTGCTGACAGCCTCTGGAGGCTGACCTACACGTAAGGAGTAGGAACAGGTTTAGTTGTCCTACATGTGGCATCTGAGGAATGGCCCATCAGACTCCCAGAGGATCAACCTCAAATTTCAGCAGGTATTTCCATCTGAACAGCTCCTGCCTGTCCTCCATCTCCACTAAGGAGCTATTGTGGCTCAGTAATTCACATTAAGGTGCCTATGTTGTGGACACCTGAACTGAGGCCTGAGGAATCCCAGCTCCTGTGGGTCTGTGGCAGGCATGGGAGGGAGCTGAGATCCCTTTCCAGCCCCAGGAATAACAACCTGCATGAGATGCCTTGACTGACTGCTGAATTCTTTCCTTACGTGGGGATGAAGGAGATCAGTCCCTGACCATGACTTCATGTCCAAACTGATACTGGGACAAGAAGATGTGATTGTTACACTTAATTGGTGTTCTGTAAGGAGAAATGACCCTGGTGTGAAGAAGTGTGTGTGTCATGGGAGGGCTGGAGCCCCAGGGAGTCTTTCAGGCTGTTTCCCAACAGGTTCCCCTGCAGCCCCAGGGCCATGTGCAGGGATCCTGGTGGGGGGCAGAGCAAGGGAGGCCTTGGGCTGGGCCTCTGCTGCTGAGCTGGGCCGGGCTCCTGGGCCCAAGGGGAGCTCCTGGCAAGCGGGCAGCGCTGCAGAGAGACAGCTCTGCCCAGGAGCAGCTCCTCTGCACAGCGCAGCAGGGCTGGGGGCACTGCCTGCAGCTGGCACTGGGAGGGCAGAGAAGGGAGATAGAGGTTACCGTCTGCGTGAATTGGGGGATACTGAAAGCTCAATGGGGAATGAATGCTTGCAGCACATTACAGGGTAAGTCTGTGGCAGAAGGAAAAGGCAGATAGGCCGGGCCCTGAGTGCTCTCTTTTCACAGGCTGGCAGCAGGCTCTGCAGCCAGGTTGCTGAAAGGGGTGTCCAGGGCTGTGGTGCAGGGCAGGGTCCCTGCTGTGGCCCAGGGGCTGTGTGGCGGGGCAGGGCTTCTGCTGCCTGCCAGGCTCAGCACTCAGCCTGCCCGGGGAGCTGCCCAGGGCGCTGCGGGGAGAAGCTGCGGGTGGAAGGAGCCCCCTTGGCAGGGCAGGGTCCTGCTGCTGGTGGGAGGCTGTTACCTGGGGCAGCCTGCTCACAGCTCCACAGCACACCAAGGGAATTTCAAAGGGAATTTCACTCTCATCTTTCCTTAGCCTCTGCTTTCAGTTTTCTTTTTGGCTCAGTAGAAATAGCAAAATATAATATTATTTCCTAGAAAAGCCTGACAGTCCTAAGGCATCCTAAGGAGGTTGCCATGACCCTCATCAGGTCCTTTTCCTGCCCCTCAGCCCCGAACAGCTCCACCGCCACAGGTGCAGTGTCAGCAGGATCTGTGTGAGCTGGTCTCTTGGACGTGCCCCCAGCAAGCTGTCCCTGGGCAGAGCCCTGCTGCCAGGAGGTGTCTGCAGGGCAGAGCTGAGCACCCAGCGGGTGGGATGTGGGCTGTGAGCTGCAGGCAGGTGGCGTGGGGACAGAGACCCAGCTGCAGGCAGGCACAGCTGCAGGTAGCAGAGCCATGGGCAGGGAGTGAGAGGGAGCTGCTCCCAGTATCTCCATGGCAGAAGGGATTTGGGCATCTCCCTGCCATCCTTGCACTGGAGACACTTCCCTGGAGCAACCCCCTGCTTTCAGTTCTCTCGCACCTTCAACCTCCAGCCATAGTGTCATCAGGACTTCTGCTGGGCTGCAGGCTGCCGTGCACAATGGCACAGCTCTGCCCTAGCAGCTCTGTGTTGTCTAGCAGCCCCAAGGAGAAGACACATCAGTCCTAAGGCCATACAAATGCTGCTGCATTGCTATATGTAGGCAGCTGTTATGATCCCTCTCTGTCCCTGGAGAAGAGCAGAGAGCTGAGATCCTCCTCAGGTACGATGAGATGGGTGAGGGGTCTGGAGATCTGCCCTTTGAACCTGGATTCCTCTGCTCTCAGCAGAATCCTGGTTGTTTTCAGGGGAACACCTGAGTGTGACCATCCTCCAGAGGTGCCCACACAGGGCAGCTGAGACCAGGACTGGTGGATACAGCAGCTGTCCTCATTCTGCCTTGAGGGACGGTCCCTTTGCCTCCCAGGACCCCAAGATTTCCATAGGTGGGCAAAGCCAATTGCCAAGGTTTTATGCCTTGAATACGCTCCTCAGGCGTGGGGAGACAAGTATAAAGAAACAAACCAAAACATGCAAAAACCTTTGCTCTTCATTTGGATTAATTCTGAGAAAGAATAATGACAAACTCTTAGTTTTGCAAAGCATACTTCATCTAAGACCAAGCCATGTTCTATTTGTATACTGCTCTAGGGCAGGACCATCTCCTGCAGAGTCCCTTGACTCCTGAAGTATCAGTTTAAGATCAAAGAGAGCAACAGCCTTTCCCAAAGTGAAGAGGCAATTTTTTTCCAGGTTACTACAAGAAAATGAGTAGGTTTTCCTTACAGAGGTCTACCCTAGCATTTAACTCTTTTTGATTCTTGGACAGGCCTCCCTATTCAGAGGAGGCAGATCTCCATTCCCGGGAGGATCAGATGTCCAACAGCAGCTCCATCACCGAGTTCCTCCTCCTGCCATTCGCAGACACACGGGAGCTGCAGATCCTGCATTTCGTGCTCTTCCTGGGCATCTACCTGGCTGCCCTTCTGGGCAACGGCCTTGTCCTCACCGCCATAGCCTGCGACCACCGCCTCCACACCCCCATGTACTTCTTCCTCCTCAACCTCGCCCTGATTGACCTGGGCTGCATCTCCACCACTGTCCCCAAAGCCATGGCCAATTCCCTCTGGGACTCCAGGGTCATCTCCTATGCAGGATGTGTTGCACAGGTGTTTCTTCTTCTGCTCTTCCTTGCTGCAGAGTACTCTCTTCTCACTGTTATGTCCTACGACCGCTATGTTGCCATCTGCAAGCCCCTTCACTATGGGAGCCTCCTGGACAACAGAGCTTTTGCCCAGATGGCAGCAGCTGCGTGGGGCAGTGGGGTTCTCACTGCTCTGCTGCACAGTGCGCATGCATTTTCAATACCTCTTTGCCGAGACAATACTGTGGACCAGTACTTCTGTGAAATCCCTCAGATCCTCAAACTCTCCTGCTTGGAATCAGACTACTGCAGGGAAGTTGGTCTTGTTTTTATTGGTGACTGTTTAGTATTTGTCTGTTTTGTTTTCATTCTTTTTTCTTATGTTCAGATCTTCAGGGCCGTGCTGAGGATGCCCTCTGAGCAAGGCAGGCACAAAGCCTTTTCCATGTGCCTCCCTCACCTGGCAGTGGTCTCCTTGTTTCTCAGCACAGCCATGTTTGCCTACCTGAAGCCCCCCTCCATCTCTTCTCCATCCCTAAACCTGGTGGTTGCAGTTCTGTACTCGGTGGTGCCCCCGACACTGAACCCCTTCATCTACAGCATGAAGAACCACGAGCTCAAGGGTGAGGTTAGGAAAGTGATTTTATGGATGTTTCTGAATAATGATAAATTTCCCCTCTTTTTCCAGAAATGACTTAACTTGGTACCTCTGTGCGGGCCTGGTTCTTCTTTCATATCATTATTTTTATTGTAACTTTGGTATCATTTGCATTTATTATGCTCTCAGAAAAATATTCATCCTAATTCTCCTGAGGAATGACACTGCTCTGTTTACTCTTGAAGCTCTATAAATGTATGTCTATCAGCAAATCAAAGCTCATTCTTATATAGCATGTGATAAAAAAAAAAAGGCATCTCCACAGCGTGTTGCCTGCAGGCTTGTCTCTTTTTTTTTTCAAGGCTGTTGCCAAGATCAGGGCTGTGCAGCTGCTCCCCAAAAGGCTCATTGCCATGCTGTGAGTAGTGAGAGACCATGGGTACAATTTAGGAACACCCTGTTGTATCTAATGACAGCAGAAATGGTGAATGGTCACTGAGGTACATAGCCACAACTGTCCCATATGGGGCTGGGCAGAAGACAGCATCCGGGACAGGAATGTGGAGCTGTGTGGAGAGCCTAGGAGTTCTCCATGGGTAGCGTGTTCTCAGGGTGGGCAAGGAATGGAGCCTTACAAAGAGAGAAAATGCCCAAGATCTTGTCACCAAAACGGGTACCGCAAAATTTAGATGTCCTCAAGCAAAGAAGAGCATCACAATTCTTGTGCAATTCATCAAAGAACCAGCACGCACAGGAAGGGAGGATGGAGAGGGATTCCTGTCACTCTCACAAAGTACCACCAGCTAGAACTAGAAAGACACCTGGAAACCCCCTAGAGTCCTTGGCAACATCCATTGCTCTTTCTGAGCACCTGCCAGAACTACACACCATAAAAAGCAGGATTAACAACAGTGATCCCAACCTAGCTGGGTCTACTTCCCATGCTGTGCAGCTCAGCCAGTGTGCAGTCATCTCTGGGGCACCACAGCCTGCTTGGTCTGCTCATAGCTCCACCAGCTCAGGGCCCTGTGGGGAGCATGGGGAGGTGGCCAGAAACATCTGGAGAGGTGAGAGGAGGGATGGGGAGAGACCAGATGGAAGTTGGCCTTGGCTGGAAGTTGCCTAAAATACTGGTGCTCACCTAATCAAGACAAGGTCTGGACTGTGGGTACCCTAATGCGTGCTCATGAGTTAGAGTAGAAGATGAGCCAGAAGTCCGCAGTTTCCTGGTGCTGCACTAGGTTGGGAAGTGGCTGAAGAAGGACTGGCGCCCTCTATTCTGCATCTCATAACTCCATAATCTTTCCTGAAGGGTGGCATCGAAAGCCAAGTCTGGGGCCCTGTGCCAGGGCTTCCACTGATGGAAGCGTGACACAGCAGCCATACCAGTTTGCTTCTGTTGCTCAATCTAGCACACATCCATGTGACAGTCTCCTCCAACCTGTGTGCTGAACCTCAGCCCCAAAGTCATCAGCAAGTCCTCCGCTTGGGTCCACCCCAGGGACTGGAGTGCAGCTGCGACCACAGGAAGGACGAGCCCTCTCCTTGGGCCTGTCCATGGCTGGATGCCTCTGCATGCTGCCCAGGAAAAGAGAGCGTATTGATAATATGCTAAGGCCCCTTTCACCTTCTCTGTGTCTGTGGGGCCCTCAAGAAATGTCCCTCAATCCTGAAATCAGACCCAGCTTCTTCTTGCATCAGGAGCCTGGAGAAATTGCGCCAAACGTTTCAGCCCTGTTGTGCACATAGGCAAATGCCCCGGCCCTCACTGCCCTTCTGCTTTAGCAGCCTCCCCCCTTCACCCAGCCCTGCCCCAGCCCCAGCATATCCCTCACAGGGGTTCACAGACAGCCCTGCCCTGGGGCTGGCTGGGCTCTGGGCCTGGAGAGGGACCAGGCTGGGCTGGCTGTTCCCTCGTTACAGGCCCTGAGCCCAGCAGGAGGATGGGAGTGCTCACATTTCAGTGATTGGCCCTCCCCAGACTGAGGTGGAAGGCTGGTGCTGGGAACTGTGAGGGGTTGGGGCTGGTGGTAGCTTTCTCGGGCAGTTTCTCCTTTTTGTTCATGCTACAAGCTGGGCTGAATCTGTGCCCTGGGACACTCTGCTCGAAGACACTGTGGGTGTAGAGATAGTTTTTATTGTCTGACCACACGCATGGTAAGGAAATTTTTCATAATGTCCAGATTGAACCGCCCCAGTACAGCTTTGTGCCATTCCTTTGTGCCTGAGGATGACTTGAATCCTTTTCCAGACCAACCTTCCCTGTGCCTGCTGGGTCCACATTTCCTCCATGGAGACCGCAGACATCTCATTTGCCTGTAGAAGCCAAGATACCAAAAAGACGCTATGAGAGAGTCAGCTCAGTCCCAGTGGCACACATATTTTATAGGGGCTACAGGGAAAGAGAGCAAGTTGATGTTTCAGATGAAATGAGATGAAGCCAAATGTGTGTCGGAACATCGCAATTGTACTTAACAACAACAACATCAAAATCAATGTCAACATAAACATAAAATAATATAATATATAATATAATATAGTAACAATAATAATAATAATACAATGCATAGGAATGTACTGAATATACAATGAATATACTGTGAGTCAGTTGTGGAGACAGATGAAAAGTTTACCAGCTGTGAAAAATGTCAATGAAATCACTTTGTTCAGTGCAACTTTCAGCTCCTGGTTTCTCATGCTGTAGATGAAGGGGTTCACTGCTGGGGGCACCACTGAGTACAGAACTGCCACCACCAGGTCCAGGGATGAGAAGGACAGGGAGGGGGGCTTTAGGCAGCTGAAAAAGCCAGTACTGAGAAACAGGGAGACCACTGCCAGGTGAGGTAGGCATGTTGAAAAGGCTTTGTGCTGCCCCTGCTCAGAGGGCATCCTCAGCACGGCCCTGATGATCTGAACATAGGAGAGCACAATGAATACAAAACACCCAAAGTCGATGAAAACATTACCTACAAGAACCCAAACTTCACTGAGGAAGGACTGTGAACAGGAGAGCTTGAGGATTTGGGGGATTTCACAGAAGAACTGGTTCACAGCATTGCCTTGGCAGAGAGGCAGGGAAAATGTATTGGTAATGTGCAGGACAGCATTGAGAAAAGCAGAACCCCAGGCAGCTGCTGCCATCTGGGCACAAGCTCTGTTGTCCAGGAGGGTCCCGTAGTGCAGGGGCTTGCAGATGACAATGTAGCGGTCATAGGCCATGATGGTGAGAAGAGAATACTCTGCTGAAAACAAAAACACAATGAGAAAGACCTGTGCAACACATCCTGCATAGGAAATGGCCCTGGTGTCCCAGAGGGAATTGGCCATGGCTTTGGGGACAGTGGTGGAGATGCAGCCCAGGTCAAGGAGGGCAAAGTTGAGGAGGAAGAAGTACATGGGGGTGTGGAGGCGGTGGTCGCAGGCTACGGCAGTGAGGATGAGGCCATTGCCCAGGAGGGCAGCCAGGTAGATGCCCAGGAAGAGCACGAAGTGCAGGAGCTGCAGCTCCCGTGTGTCTGCAAATGGCAGGAGGAGGAACTCGGTGATGGAGCTGCTGTTGGACATTTGATTCCTCTGGGCATGAGGACCTGTCTGAGGAGGGAAATACAGCAAAATGTTAGGCTCAGCCCTGTGAGCAAAACCTACTCTGTTTCTTGTTAAACCTCAGAACTGCTGCTTCCCTTTTAGGAAAACCTCTGCTGCACATTCCTTGGTAGAGCTCTGGTTTATGCTACCAGAGGGTGCCACTGGGAGCAAGGGACTCTGGAAGTCCTTGGCATTACTGCTGCACTCAAGTGAAATCTTGCCTGAGAGGCAAGGGCTCTGTCCCTTAGAGCAGAGTAAGGGCAGCTATCCTGTCCCAAAGTCCTGGTTACAGCTGCCCTGGACTGGCACCGCTTTGAGCTCAAAGATACCATCATACCCAGGTGTTCCCTTAGAGAAGAGCCTGCACACTGCGCAGAGCAAAGGAATCCAGTTTCCAAGTGCAAATCTCTCCTGTGGCCTTGAGGATGGTCTCAGTTCTCCACGTGTAGCAAAGAACACTGAGGGATCACTGCAGCTAACACATAGAGATTTCCAGCAGCATTTCCACGCCCTTAGCAGTCAGGTGTCTTCTCCATGGATAGCACAGAGCTGTGATGGCAGAGCTGTGCCCTGGAGGGGGGCAGCCTGCAGCCCAGCAGAACTCTTGCAGGAAAAGTTCTGAATGCGCTAAAAAACAATGCAACCTGAAGACAGAGTAAGCTCATTCACAGCCCCACATACAGCCCTACATGTCATGACAGGACATGGAGGCTTCTCCTCAATTCATGTATCTGCATGACGGAACATGCAGCATTCTGAGCTGCACCTGACTTATTCCCTACATCACTGACTCCAAAGAAGAATCATGAACAAGTTCCCATGCCAATATCTCTGGTGGTCCTTGCTGGGGGAGCTGAAGAGACCAAGGGCTGTACTGTGGAAGACAGCAGCAGTGCAGGGATGGCAGAGAAATTTCAAAAGTCCCCTTTCCTTGTTTCTTGGAGCAGCTCCCTCTCACTCCCTGACCAGGGCTCTGCTGCCTGCAGCTGTCCCTGCCTGCAGCTGGGTCTCTGTCCCCACGCCTCCTGCCTGCAGCTCACAGCCCCATCCCACCCGCTGGGTGCTCAGCTCTGCCCTGCAGACACCTCCTGGCAGCAGGGCTCTGCCCAGGGGCAGCTCGCTGGGGACATGTCCTAGAGGCAGGGACCCTGATCTGCACCACAGCCCTGGCCTCCCCTTTCAGCATCCTGGCTGCAGAGCCTGCTGCCAGCCTCTGACAAGAGAGCACTCAGGGCCCGACCTTTCTGCATTTTCCTTCTGCCACAGACTTACCCTGTAATGTGCTGCAAGCATTGGTTCCCCATTGAGCTTTCAGTATCCCACAATTCACGCAGCCCGTAACCTCTATCTCCCTTCTCTCCCCTCCCAGTGCCAGCCACAGGTAGTGCCCCCAGCCCTGCTGTGCTGTGCAGAGGAGCTGCTCCTGGGCAGAGCTGTCTCTGTGCAGCGCTGCCGCTTGCCAGGAGTTCCCCTTGGGCCCAGGAGCCCGGCCCAGCTCAGCAGCAGAGGCCCAGCC